CCCAATCTCAACAATCTGATTTTTTGGGGGGGGGTATTTTGTAGTTTACACCACAAATTTTTTAAAAGTGGCCAAGGTTGAGAAACACTGCTGTGGAGAGTTTTGTTTGAGAAAATGGGAATGGTTAAAAGAAGACTTGAAAACGTGGCCTCTGCTGACACACAGTGGCCGTTGCTTGAGCTGTTCGGACAACTGCTTTTTCTCTTGGTTTTAATAACAATAAAGCAGATTGTCTTCCGAGAGGGCAGGAAGCCGACACGGACCTCACATCATTCCTCAGGTCGCCAGCAGCGTTAAACGTCACAAAAAATGTGATCACATTTTCGTGTTCTTTAACTCGTAAGCAGTAACTGAAATGGGCTGATCTTACTCCTGCGGTGAGCACCATAGCTGAAAAAATCCACAGCTATCCTGCAAAATGCAATTAAGGAAAACCCCAGGTACGTTTTGGAGGTAGCTCCAAAACTGATAATCGTTTGCAATTGTACCTAAACTGTGAAAAGGAACAAAAGAATAATTTTTGAAGGCGCTGCGACTTGCCATGTTCTAAATCAGTATTTCTCAAACTTGGCAATGTTAAGGCATGTGGACCTCAACTCCCAGAATTCCCCAGCCAGCATGTTCTAAATATTTGCTTTTTGGGGAGAAGGGGGACATTTCATTTTCACAAAAAACAGTAGAAGCTTCCATGCTCTTCCTGTTTTCTGGGAATGGGCTGCCTGAATGATTAAAACTCCCGGAGTCTATGGAAACCCTATTGCAAGGATGAAGAGAATGGAAATTTTGCTCTCTTGAGAGAAATGGCGCTCTCTTCTTGAACCATTTTTGAACTATTGCATTTAAATTACTTACATCTGTGCCATTTTAGATCAACTTGCGATGCCTGTTACAGTCTTCTGTAAAATATGTGTTTTATTGATTTGATTCATATGGATTTTATATTCTGTCTGCAGGTTCATTCTGTTTTGCCCTGAAAGCTATTAACCGTCATCCAGCTATGTAATGTTAAAAATAGATCTCATGTAGATATTTCTGCTCTGAAGCCTCCTTCAGTGCGTTCAGGCCTGTTAGCAGAATCTCTCTAACGAGAGGGAGGTGAAATGGCATATAAAATTATCTGTTGTATAGGCAAGATTGTGGAGCTGTTCTAGGGGCATGCATAAAGCAGAAAAGAGGTTTTCTTTTCAAACCCGAAACAAGCCATCGCATTCCAGAAGTTCTGCTAAACCATTTTGGATTGGCTGCGGTTCAGTAGAAGTACAACCTGGAACATTTCAGTTGTTCCTCAATTGAAATCAAATCTGGAGGGATCCAAAATGATTTTTCCAGCTGGGCAGGGCAGGGCTGGTGAATGCTGCCCAATCTCTCCCCATTGCTCTACATGGCCTAGATAGAGTCTGCCCCTGATCTTCTCAAGATCTTCCTCTCCTCCCCTGCTTAAACTGCTGTGGCCAATGTTTGCCCTCCTTGTCAAGGAAGCTTAACCCTCCACCCAGCCATTGCTGCCCAGAATGTGGACTGCATATTCCTAATCCATGCATTGCTATTCAGGTAGTCCTTGCTTAATGACTGTTCATTTAATGACAGTTTGAAGTTATGACAGCCTCAGAAAAAGTGCTTTATGACCTGTACTCACACTTATGACCATTGCAAACTGTCGCAGCATCCCCTGTGGTCATGTGATCATGGTTTGTGACTCTTTTCATGACGATTGTTAAGCAAATCACTGTGGTTGTTAAGTGAATCACTTGGTCATTAAGTAAATCACATGGTCATTAAACAAATTCCAGCAAAAAATGTCCATTGGGGAAGCTGGATTCACTTAATGACCACATGATTAACTTAACGATTGTTGTAAAAATGGTTGTAAAACCGGGTCCAGTCACATGGTGGCTTGCTTAACGACTGCCCCACTTAACAACCCATTTTCTGGTCCTTATTGTGGTTGTTAAGCAAGGACTACCTGTATATCAGTCCAGGTCTGAGTGAAACACCATTGCTTTATCAGTGTTTGCAAGAGTGTCTCAGGGAGCCCCATCTCGTTGGATTTGTGCCTTCATGCGCTCCATTAAGAGACTGAGGACAGGGTCCTTGTGATTGAAGCTGGGGCATCTGTGAGCAGTGCAGCCTCTTTAAATGTGGCACCATGTTGATGGAAAGCCTTTCACTGAGGCCATCCTCATAGGCCCCAGTGGTCCAAGCCTTCAGGTGCCATGTTCTTTTTTTCCTTTTGATGTGTTAATCCTCCTAGCTCTATGTAGCTGAATGTTTTCAGCAGCTGCTAGTGTCAAAACAACGGCCTGATGTCATTGATGTAATTTTTATTAGCCGTCGTGTGCGTTCTACCCTGAGTTGCATGGCTTCAGGGTTTGAAAAGAAGCAGGGTTTTCTTTTTTTTGAAGGAAACTCTTTTTGGCGCAGATGGTTTTTGAGTAAGCTGCCCTCAGTCTTTCCAGCTTCATAAACGCAAACGCTTGACCTCTCCTTCAACTGTCTCTAGGGGCTTTGCTTGCAGATGCAGAGTTAAAAGCATCGACGAGAAATGTTTCTTTCTCTTCTAGGATTTGATGACTTTTGAACATCAGTGGACCAACTTCTTTGCCAATTTTGACACTGAAATTCCTTTCATTCTAGAACTGTCAGAGTCTCAGACAGGGGAGGTATGTACAGGATCATTGAGGGGATCGAAAAACCTAGTTTTACATGTTTCTTTCTCTCTACACAGCTCCTCCGTTTTGCAGTGTGAAGCCTGTTGCGTGCTTGATCACTTGCAATGACCCCATTTCAGGCTTGTCCCGTGCCAAATGGTAAACATCCTTTCCCATCAAGAACAAAACAGTCATAAATCTATCCGGGTGAAGGCTGATTGGAGGCAACGCAACAGAAGCATGTGTGGACATGGCTGAAGGCGCATCGAGTCCCAGAGTTCTGACAACGATGTGAACAGCATGGAGATGCCAGAACGTTTTGCAGGAGACCAAGCAGTGCTTCAGAACAAAATGTTGGGCTTGATTAGGCCTTGCATCTTGCAGAATCGGCTGGCATGTCTATAATGCAAGCTAGGATGGTGTCTACAGTTTTTTGAGACACTTGCAAAGTGCAAGGTTGACCTTGATCAACATCTAGAGCAGTGTTTCCCAAACTTGGCAACTTTAAGACATGTGGACTTCAACTCCCAGAATTATTCTGGGAGTTGAAGTCCACATGTCTTAAAGTTGCCAAGTTTGAGAAATACTGATCTAGAACCTTGGATTGAGATAGAACGGGGCTACTTCTTTGCCTGCTGGTGCCTCGTATCTTGAAGCTATTTCCACCAATATTGAAAAATCCGCATTAGTTATTAGTGTTTTTTCCCCCAGGCTCAACTGAAGGTTCTTACGGTAACGGTTAAAATTCTAAATAGCTTCCTGGCTGGCTCTCTCCAATTTAAAAGCCATCCAAGTCCATTGTATGCAGCAAAAAAAAAAAAAAAAAAAAAACCTCTTAGAACACAAACAGGTGGAAGAGATTTCGGTTTTTAAAGGTATTGTGGGTGAGCCTCAAACACTGAGCAGTTTTCTTGGTGCCTCGGAAAGGTGGTTTAGCACTCTTGTTTTTGCAGACAAGATAATAACAATTTATTAAGTTCTGTGCCACCTGACTCCCAGCGACTCTGGGCGGTCTTTTGATCCTGCAAGAATTTAAAATCAAGGTTGAAGAAGCCCACCCTTTGCCTGAGAGGCTAAGAGAATATTACAATCTCATATTTGTTGGGGGGGATATTTGTTTATTAAGTTTATATGCTGGCCATCTCCAGTTCTATTTTGTTGTTTAGTCGTTAAGTCGTGTCCGACTCTTCGTGACCCCATGAGCCACATCGCGCCA